TCTTCAGCCTTCTCACATGCAGGGTCTGAGYKCCAGCTGTGAACTCCAACAAACACCCCAATTCAGCCATGGAGCTGCTCCCAGTTTTAAAGGCCAAGCCACATGTKTGCACAGAAAAAAGGAGTGCCTCTATGTTCCCCTTCCCTCCACACTGACCCTTCTGTCAAGTGATTGTTGCAGGGATGGTTTGAGCTCTGAGCAGAGGACAATGTCCCATGGCATCATCCAGCTGTCCTTACAGCTGTATTTCAGCATCCTCCAAGGCAAGGAAAGGAGACAGGAGAGCAGCCCAATATCAAATCCATRGGGGAGAAGCTGGGTAACCCCGATTTAAACCAGAACACAAGAACTCCTGATTCACCAATTCACCATTAATGCCCAGATGAACTCTTTCCACCCACCCACCCCCACCAGACTGTAACTAGTTGACTGGTGAAACCTATGTGCAAATTTGTACCTAAATATAGATGTTCTGCTAAATTTGGCAAATCTCTCCTTACCAAGAGGTTGCACTGCATATTTATGTAATTATACAGTAGTATTTCACATCTTTACTTTCTACACCTATCATTAGAAAACAGTTGCTGACATTTATTTTAGGTCATGTACTCAACTGGGTCAAGCTGCACTAAAGGGAGACCCAAGTTCGGCAAGAAATCTTAGAAACCGGTTCACTGTAAAATGTTATTGAATACTATTAACCATAAATACGCTCCTTGTTTCTGGTTACCACAGGCCAGATTTGCAAAGTTATGGAGATACCCACTATGTTTTTTTCTGGAAGTTACATGCCTAATCAGATGGGGAATAAATGAACACCCTACTAACCAGCTCTCTGCATCCTGAAGAGTCACCTCAATACTTCCAGAAACCTGAACACGTTATCCCTTGATGTTTTCTAATCAGTGAATAAACCCTGAAAGAAAATTTTACATTTTCTTCTACTTCTTACCGCCTGAAGTTCGAGCTAGTCAAAACAAGAATTTAAATCTGTATTTTTTCAGAGAAAAGGCTTTTCTGCTTAATACTGTCTACCTGAATTTCCATCCATTTTTTGAATTTCTATTCCTTGTGGTAAAGAAAATGCTGCTATTTACATTGTCTCTAATACAATGGTAACTAAAATGTCCAAGCATTACATTAACCTCAGAAGTCAAAAGATGCATTGTGCACGCCATTTACAAAGATTTATGCTAAGGAGGTTCAACAATACAGCAATGACTTTAGTAGACAACACTGCTTATTTGAAACAAACTATGTATTTATTCTTAATTTCAAACCCAGTTTAAAAATTCAGAGACTTCAGATTGCAGGAAAGGGAGCACCAGACAAAATCTCCAGGTACTGAACTGCTCTGGAGTGCATGCCATTCAACTACTCATCCTACTCCTTGTAGGAGGTATGTTATGTCTGATTTTTAATTATGCTTTATGTAAATATCCCCAGAGGCTTATGCAATAGGTACAGGCTTAAGTAAGGCAAGCTGGTGGAGGCAGCTCAGGAGAGGGAAGCCGAGAGCTGAGCTGACTCCATAGCCAAGGGCTGGGTGAGCTCCAGTTGTCATTGAAGGCCTCCAAACCCCTGAATTACAGAATATGACAGATTTGCTACATTTGTACACTCACTGCCAAAAGCCACTTACTGAATCAAGCTCCCAGATCCCCTGGAACTTGTGTCGGCACCACCGGCTTCTCCTACTTGATTTACAACAGCTCAGCAAACTCACCATCCCCAAGCACTAACACAGCCACATTTATCACCTGCTTCAATTCTTGCCTGCCACACTTCACTGCTGAGAGGGTTTCTGATGAGGACCTGCACCAAAGATCCCATGGACATGCACTATTCAGCACTGCCCTCCCAGAACACCTTCACCTTGACCTACAGCCCTCACAGCCAGGGTGGAGRAGGCTGTTTAATAGTCATGCCTTTGACACCACTGTAAGTGCCAGCAAATTCACAAGGAGTGGTAATAATACACTTAAAGTCACACCAAAAATCTCACTCTAAACAAGTTGCAGGCTGTGTTCACACCCTGATCAAGCTTAGAAGGCAACTAAGCAACTATTTGCACTGAGGTCAAAACCACCTCATTTCTCAGGCTGCAACCAGCGGTGGAAGTTTCTCCAAGCACCCAGGAGATCCACAGCAGCCTGTTTTACACAGGAATAGCACAACCCTCCTGGCCTCATCCTTCCATGCCCAAAGACATGCTTCAGCTTGCAATTGTTTCTATTTGCATGTGATAATTTTAACTGGTAATTCTAGAAAATATTCTGCACAGCTGCATTTAAATTTCACCTTGTGGACCTGATACAACTCATCTGCACAGGATCCACCTTAGTCCTTGGTTTCCCAGCCAAGAGCCTGGTCACTACCATAGACAGGCACTGAGCTAGGAAGCCAGAAAGCTTTGATTTGCTCCCAGTTCTGCAAGCCAGGATAAATGGGGCACACCCTATTCACCTRTAAAATGGGGACAGTACTCTCCACTGTTAAGTACTTGGAGATCTGATCTAAGAAATGTAATATATTTTTGAAAAGGTTAGGTTAAAATATATTGCTCTTTTCATTCTCTAGATAAATGCCTTATTATACTCTTTGTCCTGCACTTCCCTGATGATCTTTTTTAACTAATTTGCCATTTTGACCAGTCCAATTATTTTAGTATATTAAACTCAAGACTAATACAAGRATTCAAAACCTAAATACCACTGCAGACATGCAACAGAGCCTATAGAATATTGTACCATTCTTTTTATGGCTTCAGAAGTAGAGAGAAGAGTACARATCAAGGCAGCATGGCAAAAACTCTTTTTTATTTTTTATTTTTAATTCTCCCCTTTAGTTCTCACTAATTCCACCCACTGGTAATAGCTGAAGGCATACACCCAAATCAGTGACTCATGGCACAAGACCACAGTCCAAACAGTGACTGACTAGCTTCTCAAAGCAGTGCAGTTCAAGAATTGCAGTGTTCCATCCATGGACCTTAACTGCCTTTTCTGTGCTCAAAAAAGAAGACAAACAAACAAACAAACAAACAACAAAAAAAAAAGACAAATCCTCATCACTGACAAAAGGTTCTTCCTTAGTTCTCAGAAAAAAAAATTGAAAAAAAAAAAATCCCCTTGGTGCTCCCAGCCATGTAGCCTAGGCACATTCTTYCCACCCATGCTTCTTCCCCAAGTAACTATCCACAACCAGAAACACAAGACAGAAGAACTCCCCAGGCAATTTCAGCTTTGAGATTAGCCCACCTCCTCTCCACATGTGCTTGAAAACTTCAAGTATTTCAATTCCAGTTAACTTTCTATTCCATATCTTAAATAATAAACTTTTCCCCAGGTTTTTCAAATTAATCACTTAACTTTAATAGCTGTTTGGGAACCTTTATTTTTTTTACCTCAATGCCAACCTCCCAGACACATTATTTATAATAGGCTGTCTTTCTTAATACGTGCTATTAGTCAAAAGAGTGCTTAGTAAACACCCTAGCTGTCCAATCTTCACAACCCTTAAATAATGGGGTGGGTTCAAAAGGGATAAGCTTTCAAAATAGGRCTCTGCTCACCTTGTAAAGAGCCACAAACAACCTGATACAGCCTAGTTYCCATCATTTTCCAGGTTCTGTAGTTACTGTTTTGTATCTTCAAAGATACATTAAAATGTGACATAAAAGACCTCCCAGAGAGCAGATATTCATCAATTACTTGTGTCCTATTCTATCTATGGCAGGTCTTCCAGTTCCCCAAAACAGGTATGTACTGSAACACCTAACTCCATATGGGATTGAACATGTACATCCAGGACGCCAATCACACAAGTAATGTTCATTTATAAGTGCTCATCTGCCTGATCATTAGATCTTTAGTCTAGTTAAATATCCTGCTGATAGCACCATTTCTAACATAGGTTAGGTGGTCGTGAGCAAAATGCAAATGTGGGTGTCCATCAATTTAATCACTTTTTTTATTCAGATAAGACCTGGTTCAGGTTCCAGGAGGGCTGGACAAAAGAGAATCATCAATAGAAGGTAAAAAATTTAGCCACAGGAGGATGACTGCAGGCTCCCCTCCTTCCATCTCTTCGGAAGGAACAAGGACACATTCTGAAGTACACTGGCTTGGCTTCCAAAGTAAAAAGGGTATGTATCACCTTGGCTATTTTCTTCCTCTTGCAGAAGCCCAAGAGAACTGCAAAAAGCCTGCAAGCAGTAGCCACTTTCTCCTGTTTTCCGCTAAAAGTATGCAAGGGCTGCAATCCTGCMTTTTGCTAAGAGACTACTARGGAATGAAGATTCACCCCTTGGTGTAGCAGTGACAGATAAAAGCTTTCATTTACCTTCTCTCCCTAGGCTACATAAAGCAGCATTAGATGCCAGTTTACAGGTCCAACAACACTCCATTTGGGTTGGGATAAGGCCCCAGTCCCTCCTCCACACCCTTCCTTTAAACRTCTCCGCAGGTTTGGAAGATCAAAGAAAGACACCTCCATTACCCTCTTCCATTTTGTTGGGTAAGAAATATTTCTATTGCATAAAAGCGTGTGTGTATAGCTATATCTACAGGAATTTATCCGTGTCTGGGAACCCCAAGTACAGAGCAGCAAGAGTGGGCAGACGGCTTCACTTTGTTCTCTGTCGGGTGCAGGATCTCGCCTCCCCCTCCAAACCTGTTCCCAGGTGGAAGCCGCTCCTTGAGGTCAGGACATATCCTCACCCCGCTCCGCGGCCGCGGCGCGCCGAGGGCCCGGCCACCCCCGGCCCTTCCGCGGGGCCGCCGGGAGGCGCGGCGGGGCGAGACCCCCGCCCTCGCTGCCTCCTCCCCGGCCCCGGGCCGCGCTGCCGTGCGGGGCCGCCGGGACCCGCCCATGGCGGCGGAAGGCCCGGGACGAGCGGGTGCGGTGCGGCCGGCGCGGCGAGCGGGAGAGCGGGCGGGCCCCGGCCGGGCCTGTCAGGAAGCGGCGGAGGGGAAGGAGGGCGGGCCGGGATCGCTCACCTCGGACACCTCGTCCTCGTCGCTGCCGGAGCCGCCGCCGCCCCCGCTGCGCAGCACGGCGGCCGCCAGCTTGAAGTCGAGGGCGGCCTCACCGGCCGCGGGCGCGCCGGGGCCTCCCGGCCCGCCGGGCCCGGCCTCCCCGAAAAGGCGCACGGCCCGCAGGCCCAGTGGGGAGGGCCCGGCCGCGGCGGGCGGCTCGGCGGCGGCGGGCGGCGCGCGGGGCGCGACCGAGTCGATCTCCTCGTCGGCGGCAGCGGCGGCGGTGCCGTCCGTGAGCATCGCGCTGGTCCGGGCCCGGCCGTCTCCGTCCCCTCACGGCACCGCGGCAGCGCCACTAACTTCTCACACCCTACCCGGCCGCGGCCGCCGCGCCGCCCCCCCGCCGCTACGCGCACGCCTATTGGGCGCGCTCGGCCGAGGGCGGCGCGCTATTGGCCGCAACGCCCGCCACTCAGGGGCGCGTCACGCGCTCCCAGCATGCTGCCCTGAGAGCRCACGCCGAGGCGGTAAGAGTGCGCCGCCCCGCCCCGCTCGCCCGGCCTCGCTTCCTGAACTTCCCGGAAGATGATTGGYYGTCCGGAACATCAATCATGTGCCTCGGMGGAGCTGAGGGCACCGATGGGKCAAACSGGCTGTCGATCAAARGAATCTCGGTTTTGATTGGTTAAAAGGCACATCGCTCACAACGCACGGCGTCTGGCGTCTTTTGATTGGCTTCTGCATGCTCTGGGCCCGCCTCCCCTTCGAACCCCTCTGAAGGACTCCGTCAGCGCGAGACACCGTCACACGCCCGCCTGTCCCGAGCGCTGATTGGGCTGCGGAGCTGCCAATCGAAGGGGAGGGCACGCCTTCCCTCTGACCCCGCCCCCTTGCCGAGCGCGGGTCGCCATTGGCTGGCCGCCCTGTCTCTCCGCTGCATCGGCCACGCCCACGCTGACGTCACCGCGCGGCCACGTGGCCCGGGGGTTGGGGGGCTTTKGGGGTCCCCCGGGGGTCTCGGGTCCGGTGAGCCCCGGCCCGGGGCGATGTCCCCGCACAGCCCCCGCCCCGCCGCCGCCTAGTTCACGGAGAGGTTGATCTGAGGTCCCGAGCGGTGCATCGGCTCGCACTGCGGGGCAAACAGAGGGTTCGGGGCTGGCACCGCGCCCACCCCGGGCACCCCGCGCCAGCTCAGCCAGCGGCTCGGCCTTGCGGCGGCTGTGACCGAGCGAGGTTTCCAGGRCATCACCGACCTCCTCGGCTCTGCTCCCCTGCTCCGGCCGCTCCCCGGAGAGTGTCCCCTCCGCCCTGGGCCCGGGCAGCGGCCCGTCCAGCCAGCTCAGGTCGTGCGGGGAGAAGATGCGCTCCAGCCCCTTCCGGATCCCCACCAGCGCCAGCAGCTGCGGCCAGTGCCAGGCACGGGTCAGCGCCGCTGGGGCCAGGGGACAGGCAGCATCTCTCTGTCACATCCTTCTGTCACCCCAGGAGATRCCAAGGTGCCCCCCTGGCACCCCTCCTGGCTCTGTAGCAGGGGACCATATTTGCCCAACAATGACACTCAGCCTCTTGCGACAGCGCCACGGCTCCAGCCCAGCGGGTGAAGCCTGGTGGCAAAGACACGCAGTGGCCCTGGAGGACCCCTGGCAGCCCTGGCAGTCCTTGGGTGTCTGAGCACCCCCATGCATCACCCACCCGCACCCATGTCCATTCCCAAAGGATCATGCCAGGCCCTGGTGCTGCTCAGGACAGGGGTGGGCAGCACCCAGCCCAGCACCAAAGCAGTGCCRCTGATTCAAGGAGCATCATACCATCACTGGGAAAATAATAGCGGCCATGGTGGACTTGAGAACCCAGAGCAGGGCCAGGCAGAGCAGCTGGATGACAGTGAAAAGRTACACCCGGCGCAGGGGCACGTGACGGAGGTAGGCAAGGTCTGGCTGGTGCTTGGCTGGCATCAGGAGCAACCGCACACGGTCCATGAGCTGTAGCGAGAGGATGGCAGGTGGGTCACTCCTGTCCAGCTATGGGCAACCCTTACCCACCTCCCTGTTGTGACCAGGGCCAGCAGGRTGGGGTTTCACCATCATTCTTCCAGTTCAGCCCTCCTGCCATCTGTGCTGACTCCCAGCTAATGCCTGAACTGGTGAGTTTGTGTGCAAGACCAGGGGTCCTGGTGCCACCATCACCCCAGGCCAGGGGAGTGCTTTCCAGGCAGACCTCTAGAAAGGACTCTAGCTGCCCTTAGAGGGTTAATTTAGGGGTAACACCCCTTGATTCTCTTCACTTCACAGGAAACTGCTGCAGCCTCCTCCAGAGCACAGCTCTGGGTTTCCCAAGCAGAGGGAGGGTGGGAGTTTCCCAGCCTGTCATCCAGAGCAGTGTACTTGTGAGGAAACTGTACTATTTAGAGGGAAAAGTTGTGTAGATAATTCTGGAATGGGGATTTTTCCCTCTCTATTTGTTTCTTGGGAGAAGAATAGAACTGACATGTGAGCAGCAATAGCAGAACCAAAGGATTGTCCTGTCCCACCTCTGCCTGCAGCTCCCAGGTGAGGAAGTCCCTGTGGCTTTTAGAGCAAGTCTGTGTTATCTGCTGGTCCTGCTTCTCCCGAACCACCTGATCCATCAGTGCACAAGTTTCTCTTGCTCCTCAGCATCCCAGAGCCCTCCTTTCCCCTTTCCTCTGCCCCAGAAAGATCCCTCTCTCCCTCCTTGTCCCGGGCCTGGTGAGTGACAGCTTCGTGCTGGGCTGTGCACCACACGGACCTAAAATCCAGGCTCTGCTGTGCAGTGGCAGCTGTGGCTGAGCAAACCCCCTCCTCTCCAAGCAGCCTCCACCAGCAGCCCCTGGCAGTGCTGCCCTCCCTCACCTGGATGCTGTTCAGCGCCGCCACCCCCATGTGCAGGAACACCCCATAGAGCACCGGCATCGGGATGTGCTGCAAGACAGTGGGGTGAGGGATCAGCAAGGCTCCTCCCTGGGCATCCTGCTAAGTGTCCTCTCRTGTAAAAGCCTGCATGTGTGCTCACAGCCCCAGCAGCCCAGCCTGGCCTTGTTGAACCACATGAGGTTCACATGAGCCCATGTCCTCCGTGGTCCCTTTGGATGGCACCTCATTCTGCAGGYGTGTCACTGCACCTCAGCTTGGAGCCATCTGCAAATGTGCTGCATCCTGCTGTCCAGGCCTTTGAGGAAGATATTAAATAGTATTTGTCCAATAGGAGCTCATGGAAGACACCACTTGTTCCTAGTTTCCATTTTGGACCTTGGGCTGACTGTCTCGGGACACGACCATCCAACCAATTCCTGATCCATCTAACAGTTCTTCCATCAAATCCAGTTTTGAGAATGTTGGSAGAATCCCATACCAAAGGCTGCACAAGACAAGCTTCAGAGGTGAGGAAAGAGGTCGARGAAAAGAGACCTCCTGTCTGCCCACAGGTAATCCAGGGCCATTGGAGGGGGTTTTCCTAACATGGCAGTGGCAGCAGGTGAAAGCCAACAGCAAGCCAGGTTATCCATGTGGCAGTGGAGGTAGTGGCGGGTGTGTTTGGGGAGCACGAGGACCCTGATGCACAAGGGGAGGATGGACAGCTGCCATGGGGCCACAGTGCCTTGTGTGCCAGCCTTCCTGTGGCACTGGACACAAACCCTTGGCCCAGTCCATACCCACACAGCTCCCTGCCTGCCAGACAGGCTTCCTGTGCTGGATCCATAGGTCGAGGGTGAGGAACCTCCCAGCCYTGCAGGATGTGACCATCCCCTGCCTAGGACAAGGGGCCAACCCAGCCAGGCTTCCTACCTTGAGCACGGGGGCCATGAAGACAGAGACTCCCATCAGGATGAAGACAGCCAGGCCTGTCAGCCTCTGCTCCCTGGGGGTGGCAGCACAGATGTCACAAGTGCCTGGGGTCCCTTTGGAGCCCACCCCCCTGCCTGCCCTCCTGGCCCCCAGGATCTTTGCCGTGTTGATGGCCACAGGGAAAGGGGTCATCTCTGGGTAGATCCCCAAAGCCAGGTCTGATGGACAGCAGGGGCATTTCCCTATCCCCTGGCTCCACAGCCATGGCCAAGGGGTTCCCCAGAGTTTACCTGATGCCAAGGAACTYGGGGTGCTCGCCGGGGGCTGAGGTTGCACTCTCCTTCCTCAGGCTCTCCATGTGTGCCAGGGAAATGACCGTAGCCGAGACATACCAGGGGAGGCCGGTGACAGAGGTGACARCCATCAGGAGGGAGACGCAGAGGAGGTCCAGGTGGAAGCCTGCTCCTTTCTGCAGGGGAAAAGGCAGCAGGGCTGGGGGCACTCCACCACTTTCCCAGGGTTCTGCTCTGCCCTGGCTGATTCCTTGGGACCCAGACAAGACCTTGGATCCTCCTCACGGGTTGGTGCTGCCTGTTCCCTGTCCCCTGCTCACCTGCAGCTTGTACTCTCTGCGGTTAAGAATGACAGCTGTGATCTGCTGGTCCATGAAAATGAGGATGGTGACAAGGACAGCAGGCACTGCGGACACCAGGCAGACCCACCATGGGTTGACTCCAAAGGGGAACACGATCCAGCCACGTGCTGGGTTTGTAGGCTGTGGAGAGAAGGTGGATCATGGCAGCTGCCACCCACATGTGGGGTCTGCAGTGCAGCCAGGTGACAGGACCAACCCCTAGGTGTCCAGCCTGGAACCCTACAGRCACCCAGGGATGCTCCACCGGGGGAGGGGAAGAACATCCTCACTCATCCTGGGGATGCTGCTGGGCACAGTGRCCCACCAGCCCTCCACAAGGACACCCTGGCTGTGGCAGAGCAGGGGGTTTACCTTTGAACACCACAAGCCAGGAGCTGGGCACGTGCCCATGGGAGCAGGGGGAAGAGGAGGCATTGGGCAGTGATGGTGGTGAGCCCAAGGAGGTGGTGGTGAGTGCCAACTGATCTGGGGCCCTGCCAGCCCTGCTCCACACCCAGGGCGAGAAGCCCAGTCCTGGAGTTGAGCTTGTGGCTCTTGGTCCAGTGTGATCTGTATAGCCCAGGACTGAGCCAGGTTATTTACAGTGCATGGGGTCAGCTGTGTTCTACCCTTTCTCRTTTGCTGGGGTGCAGCCTGCACCCCTGTAGGGCCAGAGCCAGTGATGGGGGAAGGATAATGACAGCACGGTGGGACTCCTGCTGTGGTGGGCACTGACCCACACCCTGTCAGTGCTGTGCCCACCCTGCTGGCACCTTCARCTCGCTGGGGACAAGGAGCTTGGGGGTCTCCAGGCCCAGGACAGCATCAAYGATGCAGGAGGCGAGGATGGCCAGGATGACAGCGAAGTCGCTCACCAGCTTGCGCACCTGCAGATGGAGATGGGGGGGGCTTGGCCCGGGCTGGCTGGGATGGGRGCTGCAGCACCC